ATGGATGGATGGATGGAATGGATGGATGGATGGATGGATGGGTGGGGGGGGGGGGGGGGGAGGAAGGGGGAGAGAGAGGAGAAAATAAAAATGACCCGCAGACGCACAAAACCAAAGAGCAAAGCCCTTCCTTCCGAACCACCTCGCGTCGCCCCGAGCGCTCGGCTCTGCGGGAGGCCCTGCGGGACGGGGCTGCGTGGCCGGCCGCGCGTGGCCGTGTGCGGGGAGCGGGGAGCGACCCGTGGGAGCGTCCGTACAGCCCGAGGGAAAAAGCGTGAGGACCGATCCGCTGGAGGGGATATATACATGAAAAACCGACTCCTCGGTGCTAGAAGCTACAGCCACTCCAATTGAAGACCTCTCAATGACAACGATAGATGGCAACTACAGAGCGTTGTAAAAAAATCACACGTACTTCAAGAAAACTCATTGCAAACAACTGACCTATATTTACAATACTGCTATTACCTTGCTTGAATGATCTTGTGCGCCTATGTCAGACATTTACAAAAGATTTTCGCCCCATTCTGATCATAAAATAGATACTGATCTCCAGATTTCTAATACTTCACAACAATACCTTTCCTACGCAGGCACTTCAGGGTGACAAAAATAAGGGCCTTTTTTTTTTTTTTCTTTTTTTTTCTCTCTTTTTTTTTTTTTTTTTCCTTCCAGAAAATCCATTTTGAATTACCAGGAGGATTTGACGAATGGGGGGTTGCTGGTTCACCGTTTCAGCACCGGTGCTCCCTCAAACCACAGATCAACCACCAACTTCAGTCCTCCGCCCCCAGCCCGGAATTAAACAGGTAAATACACTACAATACATCTGCTACAAACTTACTGTGACAAGTAAACAAACCAATCGCCTATGGGCCTAAAGGACTGCAAACTATAGAGAAGTAATGCGGTTTCTGAAAGACATTTATGACAGCCAAACAGGTTTCAGATATCAAATAATATTTTAATTTCTGAATACTTTCAATTTTCCTTGGAATATAACACACAAAGACTCGACCAAACAGTTCAGTTATTATAACTTTTACAGTATACAGAAATGTTGCACTTAAAAAACGAAACAAAAAAATAAAACAAAAAATAAAACAAAAAAAAAAACTTCCGTTTTTTTTTTTTTTTTTAAACACAAAACTGTAAACTCTAAGATACTGAATCAATCACGTTATCTATAAGTGCCAACAGTGTTATTTTGTCATGCTGATTTCAATGGTATTTTTTTTTTAAAAAGGGAAAATATCAACAATTATTATAATACAAAGGGCTTGCAAATATACAAACAGATAGAGGAGTTTAATAACAATTCATGATGAACTATGTGGAACCCAATTCGAATTACAAAAGTTCACTTCGCTTGTTTGCTTGCTTTTAAATCAAAACCGTGGTGTGTCTTGGACACAGTTCCTTCTACCTAGAATATAATCCCCACAGTTCATTTTCTGTCCGAAATATCAAAAAACCGAGATTTGGGGGGAGCTGTATGACACGTGTGGTTCATTCGGGTCTCTATAATTATAGCTCTCTCAGCTTCAAGCTTAGATTTTGGGTCACCACCTTAAGTGCGCTTCCATCACCGTGATGTTGAGTTTGTGTTTCTCTCTCTCTCTCTCTCTCTCTTTTCCTTTCTTCCTATACGATACGTTCCTGGACTCAGTTTTAATTCTTTCAGAACATATATTTTAAGGATACACAGGTTTTTTTTTTTTTTCTTTTTTTTTTCTTTTTTTCTTTTTTTTTTTTTTTTAAAGAAGCCAAGATTATATCAAAAATTATTATAGAACCACAGAATAAACTGGTTTGAAACCAGAAAAATACAAAAAAGAACAGCTATAGGTACATAGACACATAGGACAATTAATAATTTGGAAAAAAAAAAGACTTCCTTCCTTCCGTTCTGCTCATTTTCTCCAAATTTCCTTTAAATGCACTTTAAGCGAGAATTGTTTAAAAAGTTGACCCCCCCAAAAAGAAAAGGAACAAAAAAAAAAAACCAAAAAAAAAGAAGAAAAAAAAAAAAAAGAAAAAAGCCCCCCCCCACCCCCTTCCTCCTGTTTTCTCTCTCGGTTTTTTTTTCATTGCT